CGAGACATGATGTCCCAGATGTGCTCAATTGGATTCAGGTCTGGGGAACGGGCGGGCCAGTCCATAGCATCAATGCCTTCCTCTTGCAGGAACTGCTGACACACTCCAGCCACATGAGGTCTAGTATTGTCTTGCATTAGGAGGAACCCAGGGCCAACCGCACCAGCATATGGTCTCACAAGGGGTCTGAGGATTTCATCTCAGTACCTAATGGCAGTCAGGCTACCTCTGGCGAGCACATGGAGGGCTGTGCAGCCCCCCCAAATAAATGCCACCCCACACCATGACTGACCCACCGCCAAACCGGTCATGCTGGAGGATGTTGCAGGCAGCAGAACGTTCTCCACGGCGTCTCCAGACTCTGTCACGTCTGTCACATGTGCTCAGTGTAAACCTGCTGTCATCTGTGAAGAGCACAGGGCGCCAGTGGCGAATTTGCCAATCTTGGTGTTCTCTGGCAAATGCCAAACGTCCTGCACGGTGTTGGGCTGTAAGCACAACCCCCACCTGTGGACGTTGGGCCCTCATACCACCCTCATGGAGTCTGTTTCTGACCGTTTGAGCAGACACATGCACATTTGTGGCCTGCTGGAGGTCATTTTGCAGGGCTCTGGCAGTGCTCCTCCTGCTCCTCCTTGCACAAAGGCGGAGGTAGCAGTCCTGCTGCTGGGTTGATGCCCTCCTACGGCCTCCTCCACGTCTCCTGATGTACTGGCCTGTCTCCTGGTAGCGCCTCCATGCTCTGGACACTACGCTGACAGACACAGCAAACCTTCTTGCCACAGCTCGCATTGATGTGCCATCCTGGATGAGCTGCACTACCTGAGCCACTTGTGTGGGTTGTAGACTCCGTCTCATGCTACCACTAGAGTGAAAGCACCGCCAGCATTCAAAGTGACCAAAACATCAGCCAGGAAGCATAGGAACTGAGAAATGGTCTAGGTCACCACCTGCAAAACCAGTCCTTTATTGAGGGTGTCTTGCTAATTGCCTATAATTTCCACCTGTTGTCTATTCCATTTGCACAACAGCATGTGACATTTATTGTCAATCAGTGTTGCTTCCTAAGTGGACAGTTTGATTTCACAGAAGTGTGATTGACTTGGAGTTACATTGTGTTGTTTAAGTGTTCCCTTAATTTTTTTGAGCAGTGTATTTAGTCTCCAATGTTTATTGAAAACATATATAAATTTGAACAATGAGCACTTGTTGTCTGTCAAATACATCGTTACAGTTGTTGGTTAGCTAGCCTGCCTGTCTATCTGCCTGTCTGTCTGTCTGTCTGTCTGTCTGTCTGTCTGTCTGTCTGTCTGTCTGTCTGTCTGTCCGTCTGTCTGTCTGTCTGCCTTTCTGCCTTTCTGTCTGTTTGTCCATCTGTCTGTCTACCTGTCTGTCTGTTTATCCATCTGTCTTTCTGTCTGTCCATTTGTCTGCCTGTCTGTCTGTCCATCTGTCTGTCTGTCCATCTGTTTGTCTGTCTGTCTGTCTGTCCATATGTCTGTCTACCTGCCTGCCTTTCTGTCTGTCTGCCTTTCTGATTGTCTGTCCATCTGTCTGTCTCCCTGTCTGTCCATCTGTCTGTCCATCTGTCTGTCTGTCTGTATGTCTGTGTCTGTGTGTCTGTGTCTGTCCGACTGTATTTGTATATCAATAAATAACACATCAGCAGAGGGCACTGTTGTATATCATAACTAGTTCTCTGAGTCATCTACCACAGCTGATGTAACCCTAACCCTAACCAGTGTTAAACATGCTCTCTCCATCCTCAGGTTAACCTGGCAGTGTTTAACATGCTCTCTCCACCCTCAGGTTAACCTGGCAGTGTTTAACATGCTCTCTCCATCCTCAGGTTAACCTGGCAGTGTTTAACATGCTCTCTCCATCCTCAGGTTAACCTGGCAGTGTTTAACATGCTCTCTCCATCCTCAGGTTAACCTGGCAGTGTTTAACATGCTCTCTCCATCCTCAGGTTAACCTGGCAGTGTTTAACATGCTCTCTCCATCCTCAGGTTAACCTGGCAGTGTTTAACATGCTCTCTCCATCCTCAGGTTGACCTGGCAGTGTTTAACATGCTCTCTCCATCCTCAGGTTAACATGGCAGTGTTAATTTATTTAACAGACTAAAATAGTCCTTGTACCTGCGTGTAGAGAGCTAAAGTCCTGCCATCCAGTAGGTCCCCTAAGGGATGGTTGATGTTTACATGAGTGCATTGTGCTGTCTTGTTCCATGAGGCTAGACACTGGGGGATAGGCCTATAGGTGTTGTTTGTCACGTTACACCAGCACAATTCATACCCCCACTGGCAGCTCTTCCTGTTCCATAGTGAGATATGAAACTTGGAGTTCATATTTACAAACTTGCTGTGGGGGAGCCAGTGCCAGAAACTTTGGAGTTGCTTCATGTGGGCTGAGTCATCTTTTCTGACTGTGTTGGGTAACAAACTGCGCACAACTTACACTCCTCAATCAAAGAAACCTCTTACGTATGCCCTCTGAGACGTCAATCATCAGTTTACACTGCCAATTGAAAGATTTACTAAACACACCATGCTGTAGCCAAAGACTCCAAGAATATACTAAATATTGCCTTTGGTATTCATATCAGAGCTTTGCTTTGAACTACACATTCTTTTTGTTGATGTGTTATCGTTATCAAAAGCTTACGTCACACATCTGTTTGGAACAAATTAATCATTACTGCAAGCTCTCTATGTGGTCTCTATTTGGTTATGTTTCTCATAGGAACCCTACTTGGAGAGCAGTCTATGGCAAATGAGCCTACATCACTGGCATACAGCGTTCACTATCATACGATGCTGGGGACTTTCTTATGCTCCACGTGATTTTCCACGGAAGCTCGGTTTGTGGATCTCAGACCATGTGAGCCCTCATTGGTATTTGGTATTTTTATTAGGATCCCCCATTGGCTGTTTGCGAAAGCCGCAGCTACTCTTCCTGATTGTGAGTCATCGATCACTTTCAGAAGTCATTTGTGTGTGTCTGCTTTACTGTGTATTAGCAGTACAGAGGTACAGAGTGCGCTCAGGGTCATGGAAGACGTGATAAGATATTAAATCTGTCTCGAGCCGTGCCTCATGGTGCCTAGTGTGGTATGGTGCATGTTTTCCCTTCCCCATCGGAGATGTACATGATTTATCTGTGTAGTGTCCGCCTCAAAGGAAAGACAAAACCAACACACACACACACACACACAGTGGTGCGCGAGGACACGGACACACACACACACAGTGGTGCGCGAGGACACGGACACACACACACACACGTGTAATAATGAATATTAAAATCAAAGTAATTCAAAATGGCATGTTGACAGCTGTAAACACCACATTAATGCATGCTATAAATCAAGCTAATGGTTTGCTTATCATGTTGCAACAAACATCAATGGTAATGTATTCACACAGATTGTAGAGTGATGATGGGGGGTTCTGTTCATGCTAAGAGCCCTCCTCAATATTGCACTGAGTACAAATTCCCTGAAGCCCACAGAAACACAAATGTTATTACACATCGGCCAGACCCAGATTATGATGCATCACAATACATTTATTTTATACTGGTTTTAAAATACAGGATGAAATCTGCCTTAGGTTGTGTTGCCTGGCTGCTTTCTTCTCATGTGAAAGTCATGACAGACATGCAATGTTTGAAGGATAGCCACCAAAACCTATCTTTTTTTCACTTTATACATGAAGTTAAAAAATATGGCACTACTTGAACTAAAATGAAAAACAAAAAAGGAAATTCAAACTTGTTGTATTATTAATGAATGTGATTTGTTTGTTTAGGATTCCTGGCAATGTAAAATGTTTGTATGTATGTTTGTTTGCATGTGACTATTTCCTCTTTTGTTTGTTGATATTTGTTTGTTCGTTTAAAAAATAAAGTTAAAAAAAATAAAAAATAAAAAAATAAAGATGTTTCCACATGACTGACAGCAAACAAACACAAGCTTCAGAAGGGTGTCACAGCACTTTTCTACACCTTCTGTTACATATAACATACACATGGTAGTTATTAAAATGTTAGATACTTGAATAACAAGGAAGGACTATTAGTAACACATGGATATTATTATATTCTAGCTGCCTGTAACATGGTCTGTGTTCATAAAAAACCAAGGTTCAGGGTGAAACTAAGTTGATGCACTGCACCAGTAGTAACTACCAATGATGAATAATCCAGGCAAAAATTGATGTTGGCTTTGATAAAATTATCAAAAAATGTTAACGTGTAAACAGTATGCTGCCACAGGGCAGATGACTAGGCACATCTAATGTGTGGGGGACAAATCTATAAACAGGCATTGGCTGTAAAGGCAGACTATCAAAATATCCCCCATTCCATTCTGACCCATTTCTATCAGTTATTTGGCTGGATGTTGCAACAGTTGAGTTCAAAGACCTGAATTCTCATCTCTCAGTCTATATCCCATGCATGACAAGGGTGAAATTGTATATTTCATGCATCGGATGGTATTATGAATGTGAAGGAAAGACTGCATAAACTAGTGCACTGCTCAACCTGGATGAATACAGTGAGGAAGGGAAATAGTGACAGTCATTCAAGGGCTGGTTGTCAACAGCAGGGACACTTTAGGAGGCTTTTGGCGGTGTTAACTAAGCTATTTAAACACAAGCCTGCCCTAGTAATAGTAGGCTACATTAACACAAAGCAAAGGGCCTAATAATTTAGAGTTGTGAATCACTGTCACATGGTCAACACTTGTTCAAGTTGAAATCCTCAAAATAGAATTCGTGAGCTACATTGCAATGCAAGTCATACCATTTTTATAGCAGTGGAGTCTGATGGGTGTATTCTTTCTAACGTTCTGGTATTTGGATGTGGAGACGAGGGCTAGGTACCTCAGAGAAATACCGAATGTGATTATTTTCATGTGAAAAGTTAAATGTAGCATCATTTGTCAGTGTGCTAATGACATAATTTCGTTCCGTAATCGCGGTTTCCCTGCTAGATAATGACGGTCCTCAGTTTTACCGCTCAGGGTGTGAAACATGGTAACGCATTCACTCTCCATCTTTCGAGGACACGAAACACTTGCAAGCCAATGAATTATTGATCACGTTTGGACAGTATCCGTATCCATGCAGTGTCGCGACTTTTGGAGGTGTAACTGGGTAAGATGTCCATTTAATAGTCTATCTTTTCGTCTGTATTGCATTACGTAACGTAAATGACGTGACATTTCACAGACTTTCGCGGGTGAATGGAGGACACTTGCAAAATGTTAGAATTCGATGTGCTTATTGTCGTTAGATTTATCGTCATATGGTCGTATCCTATGCCCCCTTGATAGTAGCTCATTGGTTGAAGGGGCCAAATTGCCGGCTATTTGCTAAGAAATGCCAGGGAGGTGTACCTGTGTACAGTCTAAAAGTTGAGTGCAGTGACAGGTCAACCGAGGATTCCTTTTTATATTCATGGTAATTGTAGTAGTCAGGGTAACACCCAACAAACGGCAGTTATTGCAGGTGCGATCAAGGATTTTTACAGGATTCGTGTGTGTGTGAGAGAGAGAGAGAGAGGGAGAGAGAGAGAGAGAGTAAGAGAGAGATGGAGAGAGAGAGAGTTATGACGACTTTTAGAGGTCGAACGAGCATTGAGAGCGATCTCTCGGCGCGATGTCTATCGCTCCCCTCTCGCGCCTCGCAACTCTCTCTCTCCGGCGCGCTCTCGCTCGCTCCTGCTCCTCTCTCCTTCGCTCGCTCTCTAGCTTTCTCTTCGCTCCTCTCTCCTCCTCCTCGCCCTCTCTCCTCTCTCTCGTCTCTCTCCCTCCTCTCCCCTCTCCCTCTTCTCTCTCTCTCTCTACCTCCTCTCAGAGATGCCCATTCCATCCAGGAGACCGAATAAGCAACTTTGTTACCAGGCATAGCTTTGTCTCCCCTGGCACAGCGCGTCATGAAAAGAGAAAGGCATTTGGCAGTTATGGTTGATCAGCATTTCTTTTCATCCTCTTAGGTGCGTTAGTGAGGCAAACGTGTTCATAACAAATAGGCATCTTAGAACATTAGTAAGTCATACAATGGAGCATACGCTGTCCTACCTAACAAGGAACGTTAATATTTACCAGTGAGTGAGGTAAGAATGTCTAAATATGATTATACTATGTAGATATGACATGGGAATGTTTGCATTGGATGCTGAAGCTACGTTTCTGTGACGATAGCCATCATATTTTTTAGATAAGTGTATACATTATTTTGATTATGGCTTTTGAACATCAAGGCTATTTGATTGCATATGTCATGTTTTCCTTATTTTGATAATAATAATAATAATAATTTGATAAAACATTTAATAATAATAATTTAATAATGAATGTTTTCACAACTGGGCTGAAGTATGGACTGTTGCTATGCCCTTGTTCATTATTCATGTAAATGGTATGGTACTGACTGGTGTTACTGGAGTTTAATTAATGTCAAGGTTTTCATTAAGAATCCTGCTCTTTTCTAGTTCAGTTAGTTTGGGTCATTCTGTGGTAGCCAGAAGTTACCCTTGGGCAGGTGCTATTCCTGAGCATATTATAATTACAGGCTGTTTGAGGACTCATGAGTTGTTTAAGCATGTTTAGTCGTATGACCTGGATGTCTTCTTCTTCTAGATGACAGTGCAATACTTCGGCAGCACAAAAGTGTGAGTTTGGCCCATCGACACAGGACAATGAACCACTGGATTGTAATCGTATTGTTGCTGGCTACATCAGTGGGCGTCGTTGAGATGTTTGACAATTATGGAGAGACATGTCGAAGATTGTGTGCCTGTGAGGAGAAAGAGGGGATACTAACTGTGGAGTGTGAAAGTAGAGGAATAGTCCATATCTCTGAAGTTAGCCCCGTGTACTTCACAACATATCATTTACTACTCACAGGGAACCTTTTGAAGAGGCTCTCCGCCAACGACTTTGTTGAATACAATGGGCTTACAATATTGCATCTGGGCAACAATGACATATCCAATGTTGAATCAGGAGCTTTTAATGGACTACAGGGATTAAAAAGATTACATCTCAACAGTAACAAAATCGATGCCTTGACGGAAGATTTGTTTGTCGGCCTTGAAAGTCTGGAATATCTTCAGCTAGACTACAATTCCATCACCCATGTCGAGCCAAAAGCCTTCAGCAAACTGCGTCATCTGGAGGTCCTGATTTTAAATGACAACTTAATTTCCACTCTCCCCACTAACATTTTCCAATATGTCCCTTTGACTCACCTTGACCTGAGGGGGAATCAACTGAAACTGCTCCCTTATTCGGGTCTTTTGGAACACATGGACAGCGTTGTGGAATTACAACTAGAGGAGAACCCCTGGAACTGCTCTTGTGAGCTGATCGCACTGAAGGCTTGGCTCGAGAGCATATCCTACACCGCTTTAGTGGGCGATGTGGTCTGTGAGTTTCCATTCCGGCTTCATGGGAGAGATCTTGATGAAGTCTCTAAACAGGAACTGTGCCCCAGGAGAGCTATTGCAGAGTATGAGATGCGTCCCCAGGCACATCAAAGCACTGATGCATACTTTAGAACCACACCAGCCTCAGTCACAGCCCCGTTCACGTCCTCTGCCATCTTACGGTCCTCGTCAAGGCCCACCAAGGGACCTCGCCTGTCAGGCAAGTTAAAGTCAAAACCCACGTCTCGCATCCCCTCCAATAAACCGCAAAACTACGGTCAAATAGTCTCATATCAAACCAAATCCCCTGTGCCTTTGGACTGTCCTACTGCCTGTACTTGCAATCTCCAAATTTCAGACCTCGGTCTGAATGTTAACTGCCAAGAGAGAAAGATTGAGCGCATCTCTGACTTAATTCCCAAACCCTACAATCCCAAAAAGATGTATCTCACGGGGAATTTTATCCCTGTGGTGCGGAGATCAGATTTCGTCGAATTGACTGGATTAGATTTGCTTCACCTTGGCAACAATCTGATCACTCACATATACGACAGAGCCTTTGGGAATTTGACACACTTACGCAGGCTGTACTTGAATGGGAATTTGATAGACCGCCTCACAGTCGATATGTTCTTTGGATTAGAAAGTCTGCAGTTCCTATATTTAGAATACAACATCATTAGAGAAATTGTTTCAGACACCTTTCAGCATGTCCCCAACCTTCAGCTGCTCTTCCTAAATAACAACCTCCTGAAGACCTTACCCGGAGGAATCTTTAATGGGTTGACATTGTCCAGACTAAATCTTCGTAATAATCACCTCCGCAATCTGCCTGTCAGTGGCGTGTTGGGTCAGCTGACATCACTGGTGCAGGTAGACTTGTTCGAGAACCCCTGGGACTGCCGCTGCTCCATCATGAAGATGAAGATGTGGTTGGAACAGCTCAGCACCGGCACGGTTGTAGACAATGTCATCTGTGGCTCCCCTAAGAGACTGTTTGGGGAGGATATGCGATACATTAAGACAACTAATTTCTGCCCTAATAACTCTGATATCCTTGCCTCCATGATCCCACCCTCGGAAGAATCCGTCCCCGGCAGCACTATCACCATAGAAACATCCTTGGATTATGACACACAGATCAACAGTGTTCCTCTGTCTGTTGTGATCCTTTCCCTGCTCCTGATCTTCATCGTTTCAGTGTTTGTCGCTGCAGGACTGTTTGCGGCTGTGACGAGGAGACGTCAAAAGACACTAAATGAGCAGAGTAACTCCATGAACGCGTGCATTAGTTCGCTGAACATGGAGTACGGTCTTTACAAAAAGGGATCCATTCCAAAAGTCAGGACTTCTGCAGGGCATGTATATGAGTACATCCCCCCTCCCACTGAGCAAACGTATAAAAATACAGTCCCAACATTCTATAGGCCAATGGAGAACAAATCAGTGGATGGGTACAGAGACTTTGATCAGTTGAATGTGGCATTTCTGAATAATCACTCAGAAGAAGAGGCAGGTAGTAACGCAATAAGCTCTGAGTACAGTGTTAGCACTCCACTCAACAAACACCCCCCCTTACAAGACGATGTCCTAGACCCAGACAAGCCGTCATCCTACAGCAATACTTTACCATGCAGGCATACTGCCCATTCATCAAATCAGTATAACTCAGACTTCAATGTCAGACATCAATACATGCACCCAGAAAGAATACAACAGACAATATTGTATTGCACAGCACCGAGTGCTGTTTATGTTGAGCCTAACAGGAGCGAGTACTGGGAACTGAAAGCCAAGCTTCATAGTGATCCCGACTACCTTGAAGTTCTTGAGAAACGTACCACATTCACCCAGTTTTGAATGACTTGATTTTCTTCCTTGACTGGTTGAATAATTGCTATGTTTTTTGCATTGGCACACTGAGTGGATTTTAGCAGGGCTGATTTCTACCTTTTGAAACTATACAGACATGCAGAGGTTTCCCTTAACAGCATAAAGCAATAGTTATTCTGTTAGCTTGTTTATTCTTGATCAATTACAGTCTTGCTTTGAGAAACATTGTTTTTTAGGTTATCCAATCTCTGTGCCAACAACTATGTAAATATGAAGTTTATGTATGCTTGTTGCAATTTTTAACAATGAGAGGCTCAACTGGCTTCTGTATGCATCATCATCATCAACTATATGGCTAAACAATGTTTTTAAAAGATAAATGCATAATCTATACTTCATAATTCAAGAGATATTTGGGGTGGTACAGTTTATAATTTTCAATAATTGTCTATTTTTATAAAAAGTATTTGGAGATGTAATTCTTCTTGTTTTTATGACTGGAACAGGTCAACAACGAATATGATGTCACTTTCTTATATACATTGCTTAGACTATGTAAATAACCATGGCTATAGCCATATGTAAAATTATTGCAGATATGTAACTACTGTAAAGGAAAGTTATAAGACATTTGGCATTATACCTGCATATAGCCATTTATTTTTCCAGTTTGGAGACAATCCTCAATTTCCATTTTTTTTTCATCTTTAGAGATATTAAATAAGTATTCACAGTAGGGGAGAGTGGGGTAAGTTAAGCAATTTTTTACATTCAGCATCACTCCATCAAGGAAAATATAGTATTCTTTCTAACAAAGATATCTACATATTTTTCAGGATGTTGTGGATCCCTGGAAATAATCTGAATTCATGTAAATATTACACAGTTTTGAAAACATAGCTTGTCCAAAAAAAAGTGGTTTCTTTTAGCAACACTTACCCCGAGTATGGGGTAAGTTGAGCGGCAGGACAGGGTAGGTTAAGCCGCCTACACATTTCTGTACTGAATGAAATATTACCACCACCTTTATAAAGCCATGTCTGTCTTTATTTCCCAAACACAATTCAACACAATCACAATCGCTTTTGTCTTTTAATTATTTTAATTATATTTTAACACAGGCTTAACACCTAACAAACACTTTGTACTTTTTAAAACACTTTTAACATCGGCCAGGCCCTGTTGTTACCTCATATTCCAGAGATAATGCCTTGCATTACACCTGGGAAGAAAACACTTCAATTTGCTCAACTCTCCATAGGCTCAACCATTGGCTCAATTTACCCCACGGCCATTGGCTCAACTTACCACAAGGCAAACATTTTGACTATATTAGCCCACACAGCTACAAGGATGCACTTTCATGCTAGGTTTAGGATCTCACATTGAAGCTTATAGAGACTCCAACTGATGTATAGAACAATCTTTAAATGATCTACTTTGGTTTTTTGGACCTAACTTGTTCATCACTTTTTCCATGTGGTTTCTTCCTTCACTGACTCCATGAAATGATGACCTTTTCCTAAATATTTGGTCAAATTATTCATTTTGTGTATGGTTTCCTAGAAACAAGGGTGGCTCAACTACCCCTTTGGCTCAACTTACCCCTCTCTCCCCTACCATTGTCAACAAATAAACTGAAATAAATGTATCCCTCTTATCGCTAGAAATAGCTCTATATAAAATGGCATTCGGATGCAAAATAACTTCTGGTGACTGCCACTTTTAAATGTCAAACATGTTTGATCACTCAAATAAATTTGTTTGGTATTACTGTGGAATCTAAATTTGAATTCATTGTTAGACATACACATTTTCGGTTATGGTCCAAGCTAGGGTTGCAAAAATCTGGTAACTTTCCCAAACATCCTGGTTGGAGTATTCCAGACTTCCTGCGTATTCCTAGAATATTTCAACCAGGACATCTGGAAAACCTGGGAATTTTGGTAAAGTTACCAGAATTTCGCAACCCTAGACCTCTCATTTGACATTTTAGTCATTTAGCAGACACTCTTATCCAGAGCAACTAGGGTTAACTGCCTTGCTCAAGGGCACGTTGAGAGATTTTTCACCTAGTCGACAAGGGGATTCAAACCAGCGACCTTTCGGTTACCGGCCCAATGCTCTTAACCGCTAGGCTACCCGATGCTCACTGCGGTCTGTTATGTTATGATGTCTATTCAAAGCATTGAAAAAATAATTGTGTAAAGATGAAATGTACCATTCTCAAATCAAATCATCAAACATGCTTCGTAAACAACAGTCGTAGAAATGCTTAGTTACGGGCCCTTCCCAACGATGCAGAGAGAAAAATAGAAAAATAATAGAAAAATTATAACACAAGAAATGAATACATAATGAGTAATGATAACTTGGCTATACACTGAATGTACAAAACATTAGGAACACCTCTTTCCATGACAGACTGACCAGGTGAAAGCTATGATGTCACTTGTTAAATCCACTTCAATCAGTGTAGATGAAGGGGAGGAGACAGGTTAAAGAAGGATTTTTAAGCCTTGAGGCAATTGAGACATGGATTGTGTATGTGTGCCATTCAGAGGGTGAATGGGCAAGACAAAATACATAAGTGCCTTTGAACGGGGTATGGTAGTAGGTGCCAGGTGCACCGGTTTGAGTGTAACAAGAACTGCAACGCTGCTGGGTTTTTCACGCTCAACAGTTTCCCGTTTGTATCAAGAATGGTCCACCACCCAAAGGACATCCAGCCAACTAGACACAACTGTGGGAAGCATTGGAGTCAACATGGGCCAACATCCCTGCGGAACGCTTTCGACACCTTGTAGAGTCCATGCCCCGACGAATTGAGGCTGTTCTGAGGGCAAAAGGGAGGGGTGCAACTCAATATTAGGAAGGTGTTCTTAATGTTTTGTACACTCAGTGTATACACAGGGTACCAGTACCGAGGCGATGTGCAGGGGTAGAGGTAACTGAGGTAGATATGTACATATAGATAGGGGTAAAGTAACTAGGCAACAAGATAGGTAACAAGCAGCAACAGCAGCGTATGAGTTAAAAGAGTTAGTGCAAAGGGGGTTAAATGCAGATAGTCCGGGTAACCCAATGAGTCCCACCGTCGCGCCGGCGTGATTTAGGACTTCTAACCCCTTTTAAACATTGTGTGTTTGAGCTACAGAATTCTGGGTTGTACCATTGGATTGTGTCTTTCTTCTGCATTATTCTGCATCCGTTCGGGGCTGAGCTTGAGCTGTAAACCCTTATCATGTGACATGTGACATGTTTTGCTCTATGACGCTCACAAGCTACACAAGAGTTGTTGTGGTCCTCTGTAGCTCAGCTGGTAGAGCACGGCGCTTGTAACGCCAAGGTAGTGGGTTCGATCCCCGGGACCACCCATACACAAAAAAATGTATGCACGCATGACTGTAAGTTGCTTTGGATAAAAGCGTCTGCTAAATGGCATATTATATATTATATTATTTATTATATTTGTTAGAATGTAAGGGGTTCTTCTACATAGAAGATCATAGGAAATCCCAGGACATAGTGTTTATAATACTGTAAGGGGTTCTTCTACATAGAAGATCATAGGGAATCCCAGGACATAGTGTCTATAATACTGTAAGGGGTTCTTCTACATAGAAGATCATAGGGAATCCCAGGACATAGTGTCTATAATACTGCAATTCAATAAAACTCATGAATGCAGCTGTTTATGTCAAATTGTTTTGTGTTCTACTTAATAAAAGTCAGAAAAATAAAAGTCAGATATATGAACGTCAGATAAATGAAAAGCCGATTTTTGCTGGGGTCTCCGGACTGATAGCGTTAACTGTTTAGTCTTATGGCTTGGGGGTAGAAGCTGTTCAGGGTCCTGTTGGTTCCAGACTTGGTGCATCAGTACTGCTTGCATTGCGGTAGCAGAGAGAATAGTCTATGACTTGGGTGGCTGCAGTCTTAGACTATTTTTAACGCCTTCCTCTGACACCACCTGGTATAGAGGTCCTGGATGGCAGGGAGCTTGTACTGGGCCGTACACACTACCCTCTGTAGCGCCTTGCGGTCGGATGCCAAGCAGTTGCCGTACCAAGCGGTGATGCAGCCAGTCAAGATGCTCTCAATGGTGCAGCTGTATAACTTTTTGAGGATCTGAGGGCCCATGCCAAATCTTTTCAGCCTCCTGAGGGGGAAGAGGCCTTCGTCACGACTGTGTTAGGGTGTGTGGACCATGTTAATTCCTTAGTGATGTGGACACCAAAGAACTTGAAGCTCTCAACCAACTCCACTACAGCCCCATCGATGTGGATGGGGGTGTGCGCGCCCCTCCGTTTCCTGTAGTCCACGATCAGCTCCTTTGTCTTGCTGACGTTGAGGGAAAGGTTGTTGTCCTGGCACCACACTGCCAGGTCACTGACCTCCTCCCTATAGGCTGTCTCATTGTCATCAGTGATCAGGCCTACCACCTTCGTGTCATCAGTAAACTTAATGAAGGAGTTGTACGATGCCACGCAGTCGTGGGTGAACAGAGAGAACAGGAGGGGACTAAGCACGCACCCCTGAGGGGCCTCCGTGTTGAGGGTCAGCGTGGCAGATGTGTTGTTGCCTACCCTCACCACCTGGGGGCGGCCCGTCAGGAAGTCCAGGATCCAGTTGCAGAGGGAGGTGTTCAGTCCCAGGGTCCTGAGCTTGGTGATGAGCTCGAAGGGGACTATGGTGTTGAACGCTGAGCTGTAGTCAATTAACAGCATTCTTACATAGGTGTTCCTCTTATTCAGGTGGGAGAGGGCATTGTGGAGTGCAATAGAGATGGCCTCATCTGTGATTCTGTTGGGGCGGTATGCGCATGCTCTGAGTACGCCTCCTTGTAATCCATCTGGACCCGCTGCCATGTGTTGGTCATGATGGGGAAGAACAGAGAATCTGAAATTCTAGTCCCAATGGCACCACTCTTCAGTGCTATGTTGTGTTGCTGGCCTTTCATAAAGAAGTCAGATATGCTCAGTCTGTGCTGAAAAGCAGCCTGGATTTCAGAAATAATGCATTCT